CATGGTCTTTGCAATCACTTGTTATGCATCAGAGAGTTGGACAATCACTAGGGAGGGCAGGAGAATTGATGCCTTTGAGCTGTGGTGCTGGAGAACAATAGTAAGTGTACTATGGACTGCTAAGAAAACAGATTCACCCTGGAGAGGGTTAAACCGGGCTGCTCCTTGGAGGTAAGGATCCTGAGGCTTTGTCTGACATACTGTGGACTTGTTGTAAGGAGGGACCAGTCCTTAGAGAGGGTCATCATGCTTGGGGGGGTGGTGACACAGCACAGGGGGGGAAGACCCTCTATGAGGTAGACTGATTCTGTGACTGGGATAATCGGGGTGGGTGTGTCGAAGACAGTGCGACTGGCACAGGACAGAGCAGAGAATAGGGATGTTGTACACAGGGTCACTACGAGCTGCAAGCGACTCTATGGCACATAACAACAACAACGATACTAAATATTAGTACTGTTGCTGCTGTTATTAGATGTCAAGTACAACTCATAGTGACCTTACATACACAACAGACCTGAACCCTGTCCTATCTTGTGCCATCCTCATCATCTCTGACCACTTGAGCCCACTGCTGCAGTTACTATATCAATGCATCTCTATGGAGGTCTTTCTCTCCTACATGACTTTAGTTATAGCAATAATATTGTCATTGTCATTATGTGCCATCGATTTGCCTGCCACTCATAGCAACCCTATGTGTAATAGCTCTGTACCCTTCCCCTATAATGAGCCAGTTCATATCATATATAATATTAAGATATACAAAATCATACACATAATGCATGTTGTTGTTTTTGTTGCTGTGCACCGTGGAGTTGGATTTGGCCCATAGCTGATCCTCCAGCAGGTTTTCAGAGGCAATAAATCAAACACGGGCGGAGATTACATATCTTTTTCCCATGGAAAAGCTAGTAGATTCGAACTAGGTACCTTTAGGTTGCCAGGACAACTCCTTACCACAATATAAAAATAATAGTGAGTATGTGTGTGTATGTGTGTGTGTGTGCATGCGCGTGCTTCTTGTTGTGTGTCGTGGAGTCAGAACTGACCCCCAGCTGACCCTCTGGTGGGTATTCAAAGGCAGTAAATCTCATGGGAGGAGACTGCCCATCCTTCTCCAGTGGAGAAGCTTGTGGGTTCAAATCCTGTGCCTCAGGGTTGCAGCACAGATTCTTACCACTTAGACCACCAAAGAGCCACTAGAAGATTTCTCTGGTACAGTAATTTTACTCTCCAAAGTATTAAAGAGCAAGGATGTCAGTTTAAAGACTAACGTGAATCCAATAGAAGCCATATTCTTTTTAATTACTTCCTTTGCATCTGAAGGGGAGCACTGGTGGCCTAGTGGCAAGAAGCTGCACTGCAATCCTGAAGGCCCGTAGCTAGTTCCACTAGCTGCTCCATGGAGAAGGATGGGTAATCCTAATTGCCTCTGAAAACCCACGGGAGGGTCAGTTATGAGTCAGTTCTAACTTGATGCTACACAACACATCACGATTTATAAGGCTGGTTTAAATGAGTAGTAATACGTATAATGTGCACAGGAGCTGGGAAAAGGCGTAAGAATATTGGCCCAGAATAGGACAGGGTTCAGAGCTACTGCACCTATGGTCACTATGAGTCTCAGGTGACTCGAGGGCACAAAACAACAACATACCGGAGGATAAAATAAACAAACAGGATGAAATTACAGCGTCTAAAAAAAAAATTTAAAAATTACAGATTCTTTAGCCTCACCCCTTCCAAACATCTTAGGACACTTACCCTATCATTATCAAATGCTGGGTCAAAGCTTATGTTTTATTTCTCCCATAAGATAAACAAGAAAAGGAAAAACATAAGGTTGCAACCATACCAAGTTATGATAAACAACAAACCTCATCTCTACAGAACAGCCCTTACCTTCACATTCTACAGGGCACCATCAGTCTACAGTCACTGCTGCTGGTGAACTGACTTGGTGGGAGTTGACAAAATTTTAAGAAATTTTCTTTAAAGAAAAGCAAAAAAGCTTCTAGCACACCTTCATTTTCTCCCAAAAAGGGAGACTGGTTAGAATTACTCTCAGAAAAAGTTTCCTGTTGACACAAAATTGTGTGTCCAAATTACCAATCATAACATAAAATGCACTGGTTTCTATGGTTTTAAATGTTACGCATCTTTACTTCAATAGTTGTTTTGTTTTGGGGTTTTTTTTGTTGTTTTGTTTATTTTTAAAATTCTGGGATAGGCTGAGTTCCTGGGTATCGCTGTAGTTCTCAACCAGTGGGTTCTGGAAATTTAGTAATGGAATTCAACACACACTCATCTATCTGTAAAACCAGCTGGCAAGAGCCATGGCCATAAAAGCATTAGGAATTTGTTTTCAAAGTTTATGAAGACTAGCTTCCTTTCTTCTAGACGGTTTCCTAACTTAAATTGGTTGCATGAAAAAAGCACACTAGCTATAGAAACCTAGGTAGAAAAAAAAAACACATATTAATACAGAAAAGATTCTAGTATGCTTGTAGGAACAATAAATAACAGGCTCACTGGACAAAAGGTTATAGAGTCCTGTTTTGGTTTCGTTGCCATCCAGATTGTCAAAGTAAAGTTTTTCCAAAGAAAGACAAACAGAAGCGTTCTCTTTTTTAAAAAAATAACCATCTTTTGAAGAGTTCTCTTTTTCGCATCACATTAACGCAAATATGGGAAGGTGGAGGGAAAGCCTAAAGCAAATTTCAGAAAACTAAAGTGTGGGCTCCAGGGCTACCTATTCCCTCCACTGCTGACCCAAAAGCTGCCTTCAGCATTCACCATGTGGCCAAAAACGTGGGTCAAAATTCTGGAAGCATTCATTTACTCAAGAGAGAAAAGTATTCAAAGTTGTTATTCTATGACTCTGTCAATACTGCTTTTTAAATGGCAAATAGAATGGCCACTTCTATCGCACCCGGTTCCCAGTATTTTTGATGCAGGAACAAGACTCATTTTTAATCAAGCTCGTATCAGCTCAAAAAGAAGGCTGTCCCTCCCATCCCTCTCACCGAGGTCTCCACTTGGACGTGCGGTCTTTTCCCAGGAGGAGATAGATGCAAAGCAGTTTCAATTTGATTTTAAGTTAACTCTACAGAGCTGGCGTCTATCTGATGGAGCGCCCCCGCAAGGCCGTCAGGAGATCGTGCAAAAACAGACTTGGAGAGACGGGGTCAGTTGGACAGCACTTACCGAAAACACTGCATTCTGGAGCCCGAAAGGTATGGGGGTCAGTCTGGCGAGGGCCACCACTTTGAGGCCGCTTCCTCCCTCCACGACGCGGATAACGGCGCTCAGCTTCTCGCTGCTCTGGATCTTGGCGGCCACCCAGGCAGTGAGCAGCCGCTTGCAGACCACATGGGCGATGAAGGTGCCGATGAGGACGCCGACAACCATCAGGCCCATGCCCAGCACGAAGCCATACAGGTAGCCAGCAGCCACGTTGAGCACGATGTAGCCCCAACCACAAGGGAAGGAGACGACGATGAAGCCCACGACGAATAGCAGGACCCCCAGGAGCGAGTCGAGGTTCTCCACCCACAGCAGGAGGTGCTGGAGGTAGCGGCGGACCAGGGCCAGCGAAGCGAAGCACAGGGCGGCCAGCACGCAGACCAGCACGAGGCTCCGGCACCAACAGGTGCTGCCGAGGCAGCAGCAGCGCCAGTGCCTCACCTCGGCCACGCCGACCACCACTCC